TTTCTTTCCTTTGGATTCCTCAGTGACATAGAATCAGATGAATGTCAGTTGGCTGGGGTTTTCCAGAGGTCATCCTCTCTAGCCCCACATTGACAAGGGGTCTGAATTGGGCAGGGTCTGAGTGAACTGTTAGGGATGATGCAAAGAAAAGGGGAGAAGTCAGACATGAAAACATGCACAGATACCGAGATGTAGTAATTTCAGTGTAATTCTGTTCATGTACAGGGGGACACAGGAGTGAATGGGTGATGAGTGAGGAGATAAAGAGACCAGCTGGCAAGCTGGATAGAAGAAGCTATGAAGGAGGCAGAGGCAATTTGCTTGATGGGAGTGCTGGAATGTTTGGGAAGGCCAGAAGCAATGGCTAATGTCAGAGAGCTTCTCTTTTTTGGCAAGAACTGTATCCCTTCTGACAGGGTAGATTCATTCTTTTGTTGTCAAGTAACTTCCTTCTCTAAATCTCCCCACCAGGCACACCTGGATGCAAGCTCTTTGGGTAAGAGCCATAGCTATCATGTTCATAGAATTCCAGAGTTGGCAGAGACCTTAGAAACCGCCTAGTCCAAGAGTTTTAACCTGGAGCTCCAGAGAATTCTAAGAATGCCCTGAAATGAACAACGAAATTGCGTAGGTACCCATCATCCCAGGGCATGAAGGGAAGGCATAGCTTTCCTGTAGGCTATTCCTGGAGGACACTGGGATTAAAAAAGACTTCAAACCCCTGGAATAGTTCAGTCCCCACATTGAATATCTGGGGAAACTGAGGACCAGCAAGGTGATGTGGCTGCACTAAGGCCTTGTAGAGGATTATTGTAATGCTTTCCATTTACAAATGATGAAACTGGTCTGGGGAATTTCGGTGACTCAGAAAGTTAGCAGAAAAGCCAGGCTAAAGCTGTTGTCCCGGCCCTCAGTTCAGGGGCTTCTTTTGTACATTACCGTCTTTCCTCCTAGGCCATGCTGCCTCCTTAGGTCTCCTCGTTTATATGAGGCAACAGCAATGGCTGCCTGTACCAGACTTCCACTACCCTCTTCTGGGAACTGACAATCCTAGAAAGGTGTTTGAGTGGTGCTGGCTTTCATGAGACAGGTGCTCATGGTGATCTTGTTTATGGTCAGCATTCTAATCTGCAATGTACTGGCTCAAATGTCTTCAGTTTAGGGGTCCAATTAATGAAAACTTTAAGACTGAGGTTGATAGTATATGATGCAGCACCCATCTACCTGCACTTCCTATACCTATAACTCATGCTCCAAAATGAATTCAGATTCAATCAAGTGAGGAGTGGGCATAAGGGTCAAGAGGAATGATTTGGTTAATTCTTTCTGGCTTTGTCACTTCTCACTATGGGCTCTAAATTCCAGTTACTCTCATCAGTTTTCCATTTGTTGAAGGCACCACATTATTCTACACTTTTGGTACAAGCTGCTCCCTTTGCCTGGAATACTCTTTCCCGGGAATGCCTTCTTCTTTCTAAGACTTGTTCCAAAAGCTGCCCTTTCTGTGAAGCCTTTTCTGACTCTTCAAGGCAGAATTGGGGGCTCCCTTCTTCCTCTGCATGTGCCTGATACAGAGTTTATCACAAGGTTCGGTGAGGATTGGCACAGATGTCGATGTCCTATCTGTACTGAGAACTCCTGGAGGATGGGGGCTGTATAGCACACTATAGGGCAGTGATTCTCATTGGGGATTAGTTTGTCCCCCTAGGAGTGGTGGTGTTGTTAATGACATTTGGGAGGCAGAGTTCAGAGATACTACTAAACCGTCTATAATGCATGGGACACACCCACCCACCCCCCTGCCCACAACAAATAATTGTCAGGTCCAAGACATCAGTTTACTGTAGAGAATCAATAATTCTTGATTGAATTTCTCAAATTGCTGGCACAAGTACGTCAAGGGTTAACATAGTCTTAGAAAGGCATTGTTTTCATATCCTGGTGGATAAGCCAGGGAGTATGGCCTTTGAGTACAGTGGTACAAAACAACAAAAGAAATTTTAAGAATGTTCCAGACACTTGGTTTGTGTCCTAAGAACTTTTTGTGAATCTGTCAGCTCCTGGAGAAAATGATATTGAAGGTTCCTTCCAACCTTGGTATTCTAGAATTCAGTGCACACCGAACCTGTCATGAGCAGGCAAAGATAAAGGCTGCTGGCTCTTTGAACTGGAGACCTCATTCAGGAAGATCTCATTTTTTGGAAACTTCCCATGCTCTCAAAGGTACTAAAGTTCTTTAAATGAAGAATTTTTTCCCCCTTTGAGAACTTGTTGCAAGATAAAATGCAGACCACTAGTAGAATTTTGGGCATATTCTAGTAATCAACCATATTCTTAAGTGTTTATCTTGGAAAGAGTACATCAACAAATTCTCCTTAAATAGTCAGCATAAATGCTAAGAAATTTTCTTTAGTTCAACCCAAGTCATTGTTGGCAAAGTGTGCTGGTTGGAAAGACTCAGGCAGAGACAGTGCCAACATGTGGGTCCACTCAGGAGGGGGCTGGAGCTGGGATGCTAAGGAGGGGAGGGTTGTTTACATTCATGGGAGGAGGAGGTAGTAGGAAGGAGGAATACAAAGAGGTTGTGTGGCGGACAGTGAAGTCTAGAGAAAGGCATGGGACAGGAGGACCGAGTGGGGTTCCACAAGAAGGCTGGCCTGATAAGAGTGGGAGATGGTATTTTTTTTTTTTTTAGACGGAGTCTTGCTCTGTCGCCCAGCTTGGAGTGCAGTGGCGCAATCATGGTTCCCTGCAAGCTCCACCTCCTGAGTTCACGCCATTCTCCTGCCTCAGCCTCCCCCACCCCCCTGCCCCCCAACGAGTAGCTGGGATTACAGGCACCCACCACCACGCCCGGCTAATTTTTTTTTTTTTTTTGTATTTTTTAGTAGAGCTGGGGTTTCATCATGTTAGCCAGGATGGTCTTGATCTCCTGACCTCGTGATCTGCCCGCCTCGGCCTCCCAAAGTGCTGGGATTACAGGCTTGAGCCACTGCGCCTGGCCGGAGGATGGGTTTTAAACATGGTCTTGGATGAGTTGACTCAGTTTCATTGGAGGTGGGTGTAGTTCAAAAGCACAAGAAAGTGCTTCTATATCTCTAAGAGTAGTGATCCCCCAAACCAGCAGCTCATTAAAATCACCTGAGCACCTTTTAAAATATTTGGATTCCAAAGTCCCATCCTTGGAGGGTCTGATTGTGTGGGTTTGGGGTGAGGCCCAGGAATCTTTAATTTATAAAAGTTCTCCAGGTGATTTTTGACACTCATTCAGGTTTGGTTGTCAGTGCTTCAGATAGAGAAAACTAACTGAGGAGTTGCTGATGGCTAAGGGGTTGCAAGGGCATGGATCATCAGTCAAACAATCGAACAGATGTGGGACCGTGTTAGGTAATGGGAAAGGTGCAAGACATGGAGTGACAATTTTTAAAGAGCATATAAAGTGGTTCAGAAAAGGCAGCAGGTGCAAATCCAAGGAGAATTGACTGTGCAAACAATACAAGAGGGCCTGGCAAGTGTCAGATTGGTGATTGAAGTGACTAGGGTGGACAGAGAACCTCAAGGAAGGGGTGAGGTGGATGTGAGCCCTTCCTGGAACAATGGGTATGATGTCACTGGGTAGGGTAGATTCAGGGAAAGGCTTCAGGTCTGTAAAGTCAGGGAGACAAATGAGGAGGAGGTCATGGGGTGCAGTTGTGCGATATCCAGGATTTGGACAAAGGCTTTGGTCTTGGATTCAGGAAGGATGGGCATAGCAAGGAACCTTTTGGGAAATTCAGTGGAATTGTATTGCAGGGGACCTCTCTTCCCCTCCTTATCTCAGGGCTGTGCCATTATCTTTCTCAAAGAGGGGCCTGTTCGAGTCCAGGGTGTGTGGTTGCAACTACTCAGAGATCTGGCAGGTACATCTGTCATCGAGGAAAGTACTTGGATGGGAAACTTTAAGAGCCTCTGAGGACACAGCTGATGTCCAGGCTGCAGTCCTTCCCCACCTAGGGGTGTGAACGTATCTGGCCACAATCATTCCAGCCCTGTTTACAAGTGTTTCTCTTCCCCTCCAAATAAAACCAATGAGATGATTTTCCTCCTTAAACAATAACCTTACTAAAAAAAAAAAAAAAAAAAAAAAAAAAAAAAAAAAAAAAAAAGCTTGTGTTTATTGAGCACTTACTCTAGACCTGATATATAGAAAAAGGGCTTCAGTTGCATTGTCTTAATGGATCTTAACATAAATTCTTGTGATAGTTACTATATGAGTCAATTTTCCAGAGAAACAGAACAAATAAAGACAGATTTGGCCCCAGTGATGATGGAGACTGGCAAGATCTGCAAAGCCAATGCTCTATGAAGACTATTGGGTGGGAGAATTTTTTCCTACTCATGGGAGAGTCAGGCTCCTGTTCTATTCAGGCCTTCAACTGGATAAGGCCCACCCACATTACGGAAGGCAACTTGCTTTACTTAGTCTACTAATTTAAATGTTGACTTCATGCAAACACCGTCACAGAAACACTCAGAATAATGTTTGCCCAAATGTGTGGCCCAGTCAAGTTGACACATGAAATCAATCATCATAGGTACTCTGAAGAACAACTTTCTTGTTTTGTAGAGGAGGAAGGGAGGCACAGATAGGTGGAGTAAAGTGCCCAAGGTGACATGGCTAGTAGGCAGCAGAGCTGGGGTTTCAGCTTATGGAGCCACTGCCTGACCTTCCTAAGCTTTGGCCTTTAATAACTATCTGCCTCATGGAAAGGGAAGAAGATAGTAAATCACTCTTGCTGTGATTCTGAATAAATAGGATTAATATTAAACTATGAACTTCAAACAAAATCAAGTGCAGAAGCACAGCATGGTGAGAGTCAACTGCAGTTGCAAAGCAAGGCAATCATAAATCATTGCTCCTTTTTATTTATTTATTTTTTGGGGGCGGAGTTTCACTCTTGTTGCCCAGGCTAGAGTGCAATGGTGCAATCTTGGCTCACTGCAACCTCCGCCTCCTGGGTTCAAGCGATTCTCCTGCCTCAGCCTCCCAAGTAGCCGGGATTACAGGTGCATGCCACCCCTCCTGGCTAATGATTTGTGTATAGTAGAGACGGGGTTTCACCATGTTGGTCAGGCTGGTCTCGAACACCTGATCTCAGGTGATCCAACAACCTCGGCCTCCCAAAGTGCTGGGATTACAGGCATGAGCCACCGTGCCCAGCCAAATCACTGCTCTTAAGAAAGTTAATGCAAATCACTAAATCACTCCTAAGTTGCTCTAGCAAACCAAAGTGGATATCTTAGATCTCTGAATGTCTCTACCATACCTTCCTAGATGCCTCAAGTTACCCCAGGAAGCAAAGTATTTGGGGGGCACCATTAAACATTTTGCCCTATGGTCTTTTGTTTTCTGAGGGCAGACGGGTTGTGTGTGTCTTCTGTCAGCTAGCTATTAGGCTTAATCAGCAAGCCTCAGCCTGTCTGATTTATCTAGGGACACTGCATCCTCACTGGGCCAAGGGATGGAGAGCTTGATACATAAGCTTAGCAGGAGCAGGCTTGATCTGTCTGTGGCCTGGTCTCCTTCGCCGCCACTGGAGTAACCTGAATAGCCCAAGAACAGCAAAAAGACACTGAGCTCTTGAAGGAAGTAGCAGGCTTCTGAAAGGACTGTGTTTGCTTAATATTTGCAGTGGTGGGAACCTCACAAAGTAACCCATTTTATTTTTACAGCACTAAAGTAACATTCCTTTCCTATTGAGATCTGCTTCCTCTTATTCTAGAGTAACAGAATAAATTATCTCTTTCTTACAGGAAAACCTTTGAAATATTTGAAAACTGGGATCATTTCCCCCATGAGATTTTTCTTTTCTAAGCAAAATACTTTCAGTTTCTTCTGGCATTCTTTTTGTGATGTGGTTTATAGACCCATTTTTGGCCTTGTCTTCTCCTGGCTATGGTCTATGCCCTCCTTTTAAAATCCCAAATGTTCTACTTCCAGTCTGACCAATGCACTAATAAAGTAGAAATATCACCTCTAAACTCTTGAACATTAGGTATTTGTTGATGCAACCCAGCTGCATTAACTTTCTTAAGAGAAATTATTTATTATTGTCTTGTCTTACACCTACAGTTGACTTAAATTATGTTTCACCCTGCTATGCTTCTGCACTTGATTTTTTTTTAATTGGAAGTTCAGAATTTAGTTTAATCAATTCCTATTTATTCAGAATTGAATATTAATTCTTTTGTTTGTTAGTTATAACTCATATTACAATTTGACTCTGTCATCTAATGTCTCTCTACTGATTTGTGGCTAAGGGAAAATAGGGAGGAACATTGAAGAGAAAGACCTCTCCTCCACACCTTTGTCTGATGGTGTTCTTCTGCAGGAGGAAGGAGAACTGCAGAATACTGGTCCTATATTGGGGAGTGGAGAATCCCAGGCTTTTAAGGGGTAGGATTAGGATCCAGGCCAATATGCAAGAAGCGAGTTCCTAAAATGGAAAAAGAAGACGATGCTGCATTTTCCTTTTCTGTTTTCCCTTGCATCCAAGATCTGAGAAGAAGAGTGAATCCAGTAGCTAAGGACACAGATCTTGATGGAAAGACCTACTGCAAAGGATCCAACTGGCATTCAAAGCTTTTGTATGTACTCTTTTTGTTTCCTTTGGGGCTTAATCTGGTTTCTTTCAGACCACTGGGCCCAGAAGCTAATAGAAGATATGGTCTTTGCCCTTGGAAAGAAGCTGATTGGTTTGGGGAAGAAGATTTGCATGTGTGAAACCACAACAAACTGTCTAGGAATGAAGACAAATTTGTGCTAAGTGGCGTGGAGTTGACCACAAGCCACAAGAGGGTCTATGTAGGAGGGTACAGGAGAGGGACAGGCCCACCAGGGAGTGTCCCAGAGGAAGTGGGAATAGAGCTGGATTCTGAAGGATTTGGAAGGAGAAGAAAGAAGGAAAGGCTTTTAAGGGTAAAGAAGGACATGAGCAAAGTGGGTGGTGGTGACAATGTCTCTGCAGAGACTGAGGGATGGAAAACAGACCGGTTCTTCTTCAGACAGTGAAAAAACTCTCTGCTGAGAAATACTTGTTGGCAAAAACTTTTCAAAGTCCCCATTCTTGGATCTGACTCGGCTTCACCATTTCTCTAACCACCAGCCAAATCTGGGCGCTCTTTTCCTCATTTCCAGATTCTTTTTTAAAATTAAAATTTAAAAATTATTTTAATTAACAAATAATAATTGTGTTTATTTAAGAGAGTACAATGTGATGTTTTGATCTATGTATATATTATAAAAAGGGTTAATCTAATTAACATATCTATCACCTTGGCAACTTAGCAATGTTTTTCATGGTGAGGACATTAAACATCTATTCCTTTAGCATTTTTGAACTATACAATACATTAGGAACTGTGGTCATCACGCAGTGCAATGGATCACTAGAAGATCTTATTTTTCCTGTGTAAGTGAAACTTTGTACCCATTGACCAACATCTTCTTTCCTATTCCTCCTCCTCCCCCTCAGCCTCTGATAACCACCTTCCTAGTCTCTGTTTCTATGAGATGGAATTTGTTAGATACCACACATGAGTGAGATCATACTGTATTTGTCTTTCTGTGCCTGGCTTATTTTACTTAGCATAATGTCCTTCAGGTCCATCCACGTTCTTCATGCCTCCTTTGCTGGTCTTCTTCCCTCCATCTTCCTAAACTCTCACTCAGGATACATATTAATTTTTTTTTCAAACACAGGGATGAGCAAGATACAAAGAGGCACATTCATGCAGTCCCAGTTTCAAATATTCTGTCCCACTGTCACTGTTTGTTGGCTCATACTGGTAGGTGGTGTGTCTCAGTTTTTCACTTGGAATATATAGTAATAATATTATTGATGATGAATAATTACATTCATCTTAATAATAAATAATTATTAATAATGAATAATAATAGCTGACAGCTACAGAGTGTTAACTAGATACACTAGGTCTACATATGTTAGGATTTAAACATGACAGTCCTCCAACAAGGTCGGGACTGTTATCATCCCCATTTTATAGATGAGAAAATTGAGGCAGATAAAAGTTAAATAAATTGCCCACAGAGTCACAGATAGTAAGTGGCAGTGCTGGGACAAGCACAAGCATTCTAACTCCAGGTTCTGCCCTATTTACTACACTCCACACTTCGTCATAGAAAATGCAAGGTCCTGGTCTGCAAGGAGCAGGAGTGGAAAGAAAGGGAAAGTTTTTATTGACACCTAGGATGTGCCACTTCCTGTGCTAAGGCATTGTATGTATATCACCTCAATTAACTCTTAGCCTACCCTGAAAGATAGATATTACCCCATTTTATGAATGAAGGAAACAGGTGCAAAGTAAAGTTGCTGGTTATGGACACATTTGGTACAATGGATTTAAACTGCAGCCTGTCTTTTCCTCAGAGTCCAATGTTTCCATTACAAATGTGAACTGGCTCCCAAGCAGCTGGTATAGGGATGGTGAGAATAGGCCACATGTGAGCAGAGAGAGGGTGCAAAACTTTCCTAACCATTACAAAGCACAGCATTTCAGTCTGTGGGACACAGCTGGGCACAGCTGGAAGACAGTAGTTAGGCAGAATCTGCAGCCAAGGTGCTATTGACTCATGCATTTGAGAACAAAGAGTCTGGACTGATCTAAAGTGTTTATATGCCATAAATCTGAGAGAACAGCAGACATGGGGAGCACTAGCTACTGACCACGTCGGAAGCATCTGTTCCCTTTCTACATTATGGCAAAGGGCTGTCCACTCACAGTGGCCTCTTCAGCCTAAGCTACCACCCAGGTGGTAAATGCCATCTGCAGGGTCATCTTTGGATGACCAAAGGCAGGACCCCAATTTCTGTGATTCTTTGGGGGAAAATCTGGTTATTCTGTTTTCTTATCTGCCTCCCTTCAGGATGGGAAAGAAAATAGGCAGGGAAAGCAGAGATAGAGAGGTGCTTCCCAATAGTGCCCACCACTCTTCAGGTTCCAGAGTAGTGTTTCTCAAACTTTATTGTGTATCAGAATCACCAGAAGGTGATGGTTAAAATTAAATTGTTAAAATAGATTGTTAAAACTAATTTTTTTTTTTTTGACAGGGTCTTGCTCTGTCACCCAGGCTGGAGTGTAGCAGTGTAATCTCGGCTTACTGCAACCTCGGCCTCCTAGGCTCAAGCCATCCTCCCACCTCAGCCTCCTGAGTAGCTGGGTCTACAGGTGTTTTCCATTATGCCCAGCTATTTTTTTTTCTGTATTTCTTGTAGAGATGAGGTTTCTGCCTGTTGCCCAGGCTGATCTTGAACTCCTGGGCTTAAGTGATCCCTCCGCCTTGGCCCCCCAAAATGCTGGGATTACAGGTGTAAAACTAAATCTTGTTAAAACTAAGATTGTTGGACCCCACTCCCAGACTTACTGATTCAGCAGGTCTGGGGTATTGCCCCATGGTTTACAGTTCCAACAAGTTTCCAGGTGATGCTGATGCTGCTAATTTGGTTATCACACTTTGAGAACCACTGTTCTAGGAACCATCTCCGGTAGTCGTCTGCGATGAAAGTATCAACCTGGCTAAACTTTCTGCTCTGTCCTGATGACAGTATGACCTCTGTGGGGTTAACATTCTCTCCCCCAGCCCCTTGTTTTAACCTCCACACTTGCATTGAACATACTGGGTGCACCAAGATGGTTCAAACAAAAAGACTTAAATGAAGAGCTGCTACAGATGTGTGGGCAGGATGTTAAAAGAGCACACAGGGGAAGTTGAGGCACCAGAGACTAGCAGCAGCAAGAAGCAGTGATCGCCTCTACGGCTGCAGAGGCAAGTGGAGGAATCAGTGTTCTGTGGGCTTGGCGAGAGCTGGGCTTGTGGAGGATGGGCTGTCTGGGGGAGTCGGTGCTGTGGATACACATGGCTGCTGCCAAAAATGCAGCACAACAAGAAGGGGCTTCTCTCTTCTGCTGCTCTCCAGTCACCTCCTGGAGAGTCCCATTGGTTGAATCCAGCTGGAGCCAGAAGGCAATGGGAGAAGTAGTTTCCAGGGATCATCCTCCCAGGGCATAGAACAGAGGAGAAAATGTATCTGGAACGAACTCTGGGGCAAATGGAGAATAACCAGACCTCCGTAAGACCCTGCTCTCTCTTCCTGGCTATGCCCGAGCTCTTGACATCTACCTTTGCTTCCTCCAGAAGCTTACTTAGTAGGGGCCAGCCAGCCCAAGAGAGAAGAGAGGCTGCATAATGCCTGGGGTCACCCTTAGCCCCCACTCAGGTAGTCAAGATCCCAACCCTGCCTCAAGGGCATGTGGAGACATGGGGGCTTTGAAAGAGGTCTTAGAGGAAACCCTGTCTGTTCATTCCCTCTATCACCCAACTCATAAGCGCTCATCCCTTATCTCAAATAGAAAGGGAACATATCCACTGGCCTGCTCTGGCTTCCAGATGGTCGGCGGGCTGGAAAAAGACTCTGCTTCTGCAGCAGCCTTCAGGGGACTCTGATAGGAGGACTCCAAAGGTTGGGGTACAGCGTGGGATGGTTGGCAGGGAGGGGACACAGTGTTTCTTGTGATTTCCAAACCGTAAGGAACACGCAGTACTTGGCATTGGCTCAGAAAGACCTCCCTTTGCATCTATGGAACAATGAAAATGAAATCTCTCAATCCTTAGGAAAGAAAACAGAGAGGGAGAAGAGGGGGAAACAGGAGGAAGAGAAGTGTTTACATTTGAGAACTGTTGAGAACTATCCTAGAACTTCCAGGCCAAGGGCTGTGTTGCTGCTGGCCCTGCTGGCGTGAGTTTGATGTCTCTATTTACCTTTTTGTGGCTGTCAGGCTATTTTTCTGAGCTATGTGGCAAGATCTTTGTGTCAGATAACCCCCTCCATGGTAAGATAATATTTGAGCATGTTTAGGGAAACCGTGAGCTGGCTGCTGTTTTGTAACCTGACATGGAAATCAGTGGGCGGCAGGCAAACTTGGAGGAAGCTCACACACCCCAGGACACGGAGGACCAGCCTGCTCTGTGGGCTAGGAGGGGACTCTTGTGTGTCAGGATCCCAGGAGGGTCTCCTAGGCAAACTGTGGCCTGATAAAGTGGCCTGGGCCCTCCCCAGGTGAGTTTTTTTGTTTTTTTGGTTTTTTTAATAAAAACAAAACCCTCTTTTCAGCTCAGCTTCCAGTTCTTTTCTTCTTAATACTAACAACAGACAAACACCAATCTGAAGTCAGAGTCTGTCAAGGGAGTCCTGTGTCTTGAAAAAGGGGCCCCATGAATTGGGGTCAAAGAACTCTGTGATAATAGAGGAATAGACTCCCTGTAGTTTGGTGGAGTTCCCTCCATGGTTATTAAACTTCCCAAAGCTCTGCATAGAGACCTTGGCCTCCTGCATCTCACTCTGTGAGCTCTAACTCTGTCCTTGAGCTCACCACCCTACCATTTTGAGTACCTTACCCCAGTGCAGTCTTCTTTCTGCTTTTTTTTGACCCACACAGTGTAGTAACAGTGGGGAAGAATACAAGCTGAGGCTGTGTTTTTGTGACATTGGAGATCAGGAAGGGAGCAGAAATCTTCTCTGGCTGGGTCCCAGGGGAGAGATGACACTGGCATGGGAGGAAGCCTGGCAATGTTTGGAGAAAGCCAGGACTTCTTTCCCAGATAGTAGAAAGCGCTTGAGTTTGGTCCTGCTTTCCTGTGACCGCTGTGTCTACTGCCACCAAGGCACCCAAGAGCTGGAAGGAAACCTAACTAGGTCGCTTGATCTGGGACGCTTGGGATTGAGCTCACTTTCTGCCACGGTCTAAGTTGTGGGAGACTTTTTCTCTCTGAGTTATTAATTCTCAGGGCTGAAATAAGGAGGTTTGGCCGGATGAACTCTGAGATCCTGTCCAGCTTTGATAGTCTGTGATTCTATGGCCTGGTTATTGTCTTCATAGCATTACATATAGCCAGAGATTTCTCTAGGAGTCACAGTTATGCTTTAAAGAGGAAAACAGAGATTTGGGAATGCACTACATTTGGGAAATGTATCTTCCTGATGCACTACGGTAATCATGGAGGTTGGGCCATGGGCACCACACACAGTGATTTCCAGAGAAGATCAACTATCACAGGAGGTGCTGCCCCTTCCTCATCCTTGAGCCTCAGGGGCTATGGCTAAAGTTCCTATTGAGATGCCTTATCTTCTCCTGGCATCTTCCTTCAGTCTCGTGCATAAGTCTGGTCCCAGAGCTAGGGGTTATCTTGAGCCACGTTGGCTACATGAAGCTGTTTTCTCTGTATGCTCTGATCCAAGTGAGGTACTGAGATCCATGGTGGAGCTAAAGCACTATGAGGGACATAGGAGCAGGTCAGGATTGGTAGAGGAGACTCAAAGCTAGTGGAGGCACCAGGAAGGCCGTGTCTTTGGAGTCTGACAGATCCGGGGATTAATCTGACAATGACCACTTGCCAGCTCTGTGACCCTGGGCCATTCGTTTTATTTTCCCAGCCTCACTTTCCTCACTTTCCTCATTTGAGAAAAGTTGTTAACTCTCTGGTGATAAAATTTCATCTACTTTTGAGAGCAGCTAAGAGGACAAAACAAAAACATTTACGTAAGGCTTTCTCTCATTTCCTAGTTCAAGCTAGACATTCAATTCATGAGTTTCCTCTCCTTCTCCTTCTTTAAAACTTTTGGGAGGAAAGGCAAAGAATAGAGAACCATTCTGGAGAAAGAAAACCAAAGGATGATTTGGATATGACCTTGACATACAGGAAAGGTCATTGTTCTACACATGACCCACACGTATGCACATCATGCCCTGAAGAAGAGAGAGCAGCTGGGGCCATTACAGGAAGTAAAGAATTGTATGTAACTGCAAACACACAGAGCCAAGGTGTGGGAGGGTAGTGACAAAGATTATATTACCTGCAGAATTATCTTTCAGTCCGGAGATTGCCAGGCTTGGATAGGCACCGAGCAGTCCCTCCTTGCACTTGTCTCCTTTTCTCTTCTCTTCCATACTCTGGGGCCCTCTCTCTGACCCTCTCCCCACCTGTCCTGGCCACTGTGAGTCAGAGGAGCCCTCCAGTCCTCTGTAGAAGCAGGCAGTGCTAGTTCAGGTTTCTCAGTGTGGCGCACAGATTCCACATGTAAGCCTTTCCCTTGCTGATACTGGTGACCTTTCAACATTACCTCATAGAGTTCATATGCCAAAGGAATTTCTTCTCAGATAGGTAAGGAGGCGGAGCCAAAGGAGTGAGAAGACCATCAATCCTGATCTGTCACATTAAAGGATGTCCCAATAACCATTTGTGAGTCTCCATAGACTTATGAAGTAGCTTGCGGAATTTAGGCTAGATATGAAGAACATTCTAATAATGAGGGTTAAAGCCCTTGATCGGGTGAGCAATGCAAATTTCACACCCCTTTCAACTTACTACATTTTCAAAAAATAGAAAAGAAGATACTTTTATTTTTTATTTTTTAAATGACCTTCTAAAATCAGGGGGATGGAAGACAGAAGCCCTCAGGAAACTTTTTTCTCTAAGCTTGCATAAATCAGTTCAGCTATGCCTGAGTCTAATGGGAGCTCAGGTAGGGTGCTGCAGGAGCACTCAGGTAGGGATTCAGTTCCTTCTGAGCCCCATCCTTGTGCTTCCCCAATCCCTTCCACACACGGACCCAGACCCAGATTTGCAGCATGGGTTCTCTCCTGCCTGTGTTTTGCAAAAACCCGCCTTTGTTCTGGTGCCCACTCTCAGCTTTCTGTGAGAACAAAGAGGAAGTCCAGCTACAAACTGTCCTCTTGCAAAGTAATTAAGTTCATGGCATGGGGGCTGGTGCTCTTCAGGGCTGGCCAGCGTGGGAGGGTTGGAGCCCACAATAAGTCTGCCAGGAGAGACCTGCTGGTTCTCACGTCCTTCCAGCCCCTAGTGGAGGTGGTGCTTCCACACGTGGTTGTCCAAGTGGTGACGTTTTGGGCACAAGGGACTTATGAAGTGTCCTGGGTCATGCTGGCATAGTGCACAGAGCCACAGCTTCCTGGCTTTATTGATCACTGGGATACTGCAGCCTCATCCACACATGGCAGTACAGGGTGTTTAAGGAAGGGCTTTTTTCACTCAGAACCTATGAGTCAGCTCATAAAAGAGAAGGCTGGGTTGCCAAGGGCATGTTTTGGGGGAGGAGAAAAAGAGAGGAATTAGTTATTCTTTACAGAGTGGATAGGAGCCAAAAAGTTCTCTTTCTTCACTGAAAGAAGAGAGAGACTTAAAAAAAAAAAATAAAGGAAAGACTTTAAGTTAGAACTGAGATCTAAGATGTTTCAGCACTAGGACCAAAAATAGAGAAATAGGTTGGATTTCTTTTTTGTGGATATTCTTCAGAATGGACTAGAATAGATATTTGATAATCCTAGCTAAAGGCAGCAAAATGCCCTGGATGTGTGATGTACAAGATACTTGCCATAAGCAACAGATCAGAAATAGTTCGGGGTGGAGGACCATGGCATCTTCTAGAATCTCTGCTATGGATTAGAAGTATTTTAGCAATGTCTTCTCTGGAGGCTGCAACTAGAGCCCACAAAGAGATTATTAGAAGGAAGGTTTAAGCTGGCTAGAGGGAAAAACATTTGAGTAATTAAAGCTGTCTAACAGTGAAATGGACTGTTTTACTAAGGCAATAAACTTCTGAATTCAGCGAGTATTTAAATCAAGGATTCAAATCTGGAATCCTTTGGAAGGTTTTTTCCTACATTGGAAGGATGAAGTTGATGCCCTTTACAGTGCTAAGATACCACGCTTCTTATTCATCTATTTGTCTCTAAAGGTTAATGTACTTAGAGCTATAATTCATTCTGGTTGAAAGGTTGCTCCATTAGGCTAGGATTTGTTCATTAATTTACTTGTCCTTTGAATACCTACAGGTACCAGGCCTGGAGATACAACAATGAAAAAGACATGGTGACTTTGTATATGGCAGGTTCTTGGTATATTGGGAAGGCAGAAAGGAAACAAATAAATTGCAGCTCGGCATGGCAGGGGATGAAATAGAAGCACCAAGGGCTGTGGAAACACAGAGAAGGTAATAAAAAGCATCTGGCTCTCTCTCCAGGGGAATAGGGGAAGGCTTTTTAGAAAAAGCGACTTTTCAACTGGCAGCTTCCTCCCAATCTAATTCCATCCCACACCAGTCCTGATAGGCTCACTGAATATCTACTATGCAAAAGGCAAAGAGAATAAATGCAAGCATGAGTTGTCTAAAGAGGTATTCAGCTTCAGATGCAAGTTCATATTTGTGCCTTGGGTTGGGGGACACATAACCTGGTCTTTAAGGAGCTTCCAATCTCGCAGCAGCCCTTCCTTCTAGGGCTTCTAGTGTGTTCCCTACTCTGGTGTAGAATTTAGATCAGAAAGGGGGTAAATTGGGTGTCCATTTCGAAGCAGGGTTTCAAAGGGCAGCAGTGGATAATTTGTTTCTGTGGCTCCTCTGCTCTTCCTTGGAGTGGAGGCGGTACTCCAATGTGTGGTTGTCCCAGTGATGCTACTGTGGGCATGGGGGACAAAACATACTTTGCTGGATCTTCATAGCTCCCGTTTGCAGCCCTAGGTGAGGTCTGTTGAATGCCAGCAGGAGGCAGGGAGACATGTTTTGTGATTTGCTTCTTGTCTGAGTGTGGCAAAAGGTAGGCAAGCCTCAGGTGCTGGACGGAGGAAGACAGAAATCATACTGTGGTATCAGTACCATTGGGATGATGGAGAAACCCCAGTTAGCTCCAGAGGTTTTGGTGTATAAATCAGCACCCAGTTATGAGATAAAATATCTGGTGTGGTTTCTAACAGAGGTAATTTAACCAAAAGATTTGTTAACTAGGGATTGAATGTGCAAAGGGAACCCTAAGACATCAGAGTTGGCCAGGTGTGGTGGCTCATGCCTGTAATCCCAGCACTTTGGGAGGCCGAGGTGGGCGAATCACTTGAGGTCAGGAGTTCGAGACCAGCCTGGCCAACATGGTGAAACCCTGCCTCTACAAAAATGCAAAAAACTAGCCAGGCATGGTGGCGCATGCCTGTAATCCCAGCTACTTAGGAGGCTCAGGTGGGAGAATCGCTTGAACCCAGGAGGTGGAGGTTGCAGTGACCCAAGATAGTGCCACTGCACTTCAGCCTGGGTGATAAGACCGATACTCCATCTCAAAAAGAGAAAAGAAAAGAAAAGAAAAGAAAAAAAAGACATCACAGAGTAGCAACTGCAAGGAAGTAGTCCCATCCTTAGGGCCAGGGAAAGAAAGAAATGGGTTGGAATTATTACCAGTTGATGCTGGTCTCCCAGAGGAAGATAATGAGTGTGGTACTTTGGGTGATGGAAAAAAAAATGGCTGCTACTGGAATGAAATGCAGCTGCCAGGGTGAACGTGGCCCGGTGACACCTCCAGAAATGAGAGGCAAGGAACTGGAACATGAAGCAGACAGAAGGGAGCAGGCACCTTCTTCCTTCTTCCAGCCTTGCAGTTTCTCTCTACTGCCCTCTATTGGCAGACCTTAGCAGGAAACAAGTAGGCACAGCAGAAATGTGGTTTGCTGGGTCCCAGCTCGGGGACTCATAAAGTCAAGAAGAGAAGGATGGATTTGCAGTTGAAGTCATTAGCTTAATGATTACCTCAGTTGAGCTGCTGGGGGAGGTGTCAGACCAAGGAATTTGTCAAAAGAAGCCAGGTTGGCTTCTGAGTTAGTTAAGGGAATACTAGCTACTAAAACAGATGCAAGCTCAAAAATGTATATGAGCTCGAATACAACATTTTTTCTAGCTTTTATAAAGCTCAATAGGGGTGTTTCTGATCAGTGGGTGACTCTCGAGGCAGTGATTCAAGGATCCAAGTTCTTTCGATTTTATGGCTTTGTAACTTCAAAGCTTCCAAGTTTGCATATTCATCTGTATTAAGACAGCGAAACAGACCATGAAGTACATGAGGTTTTCATGTGTCAGGCCTAGAGGTGGCACCTTTGCCCACATTCCATTGGCCAGACCTCAGGCATGTGCACATAGCTAACTGCAAAGGGATGCTGGGAAATGTAGTCTAGCTGTGTGCCCAGAAAGATGAGGGAAAGGGAGAGATAATTGGCCACTTCTGCCACATGTTCAGCTGACCCTACATAGGTTAGCTTTTCAGCAGTACTTTCCTATGAACACAGGCTGACCTTAGCTCATTCCACAGGTGTCTTCAAGAAAGAGGAGCTTGAGGATGTGGGAAAGATTGCATGAGGAAATGCCCTCCAAAATCATAATTTGTTCTTTGCTTCAATAAAACACGGGCTTGTGTTCTCATAGTGATTTTGGTTTTAAAAACTTTTTCCTTTCATTCCAGTTCATTCCTGGGAAGAAAAGAGGGTGGTAGAGGAGACTCTTTCCAACTCTTTTTGCCTTTTTTGTTTTTAGTTAATGAACTAATTCACATTCACTGTCGAGAAAAATAAAACAACAAAATTCAAATAATATACATATGATTAAAACATATTTCTGCCATTTTTGCTTGCCTTTTGATTTTGCTTATGGTGTCTTTGTATAGAAGTGTTTTATATTGTACTGTTGTAAAATTTATTCATTTTTTGGTTATGTCTTTCCCCTTCCCTATTCCAAGGTCATAAACACATTCTCCCATATTTTCTTCCAGTATTTTTGCATGTATATTGTTTAGATTTTTAATCCATCTGGACTTTATTTTTGTGAATGGCATGGCATAGAAATTTGATTTTGTTTAGTGTTTTAGCCAGATAACTAGTTGATTGTCTATCTGTTACCAAATACTATACCCTTTTCCAGTTATTTGAAATGCTACTTTTATCATATCTTAATTCCTTTATGTGCATGATGTATTAGTTTCTATTGCTGTTGTAAACAGTTACACAAACTTAGCAGCTTCAAACAACACAAATTTATTATTTACAGTTATGGAGGTCAGAGTCTAAAATGGTCTCACCGGGCTAAAATCAAAGTGTTGGCAGGGCTGTGTGGAAGCAGCCGTCGGGGCTCCAGGGGAGAATCCATGTCTTTGCTGTCTCCAGCTGGCCACATTCCTTTGATTAGGGCCCCCTCCACCTTCAATACATCAGTGGTTGGTTGTCTGTCTTAGGCTGTATCACTCTGAAGCTGACTCTCATGATGACCTCTTCCAATTATGAACCTTTGTGATTACACTGGGCCCATGTGGATGATCCATGATAATCTCTGTCTGTTTTCTGTGGCTTATGAGAGAATACCTAAAACTGGATAATTTATAAAGAAAGAAACTTTATGTCTTACAGTTATGGAGGCTATGAAGTCCAAGGTTGGGCAGCCACATCTGGTGAGGGCCTTCTTGCTGGTGGGGACTCTCTGCAGAGTCCTGAGACAGCACAGGACATCACATGTTGAGGGAGCTAAGCATGGTAGCTCAGGTCTCTCTTCCTGTCCTTATAACGTCACCCGTCCCACTCCTGTGATTCCTTAGTAACCCATACCTCATTATTCCATGAAGGAATTACCCAAACACTTCTTTCTTTCCTTCCTTCCTTCCTTCCTTCCTTCCTTCCTTCCTTCCTTTCTTTCTCTCTCTCTCTCTTTCCTTCTTCCTTCCTTCCTTCCTTCCTTTCTCTTTCTTTCTCTCTCTCTCTCTTTCTTTCTTTCTTTCTTTCTTTCTTTCTTTCTTTCTTTCTTTCTTTCTTTCTTTCTTTCTTTCTTTCTTTCCTTCCTTCCTTCCTTCCTTCCTTCCTTCCTTCCTTCCTTCCTTCCTTCCTTCCTTCCTTCCTTCCTTCCTTCCTTCCCTCTTCCTTTCCTTTCCTTTCCTTTCTCCTTCCCTCCCCTCCCCTCCTCTCCTCTCCTCTCCTCCCCTCCTCTCCTCTCCCTTTTTGAGATGGAGTCTCACTCTGTCGCCCAGGCTGGAATGCAGTGGCGCGATCTCGGCTCGCTGCAAGCTCCACCTCCCAGGTTCAAGCAATTCTTCCGCCTCAGCCTCCTGAGTAGCTGGGGTTACAGGCGCCCACCACCACGCCTGGCAAATTTTTTGTATTTTTTAGTAGAGACGGAGTTTCACCGTGTTAGCCAGGATGGTCTCAATCTCCTGACCTCATGATCCACCCGCCTCGGCCTCCGAAAGTGCTGGGATTACAGTTATGAGCCACCGTGCCTGGCCCAAACACTTCTTAAAGACTCTGCTTCTCAATTGACTGCCACATTGGGGTTTAAATTCCAATACGCGATTTGGAGGGGACAAGCATTCAAACCACAGCAATCTTCCTGTCTTAATCAAGGTCAGCAGATTGATTGAATCTGCGACCTTGATTCCTCCTTGCCATGTGTTATGGACTGAACTGTATTCCCTTGTCCCCTCCAGTTCATATGTTGAAGCCCTAATCTCTGATATCTCAGAATGTGACTGTATGGAAGGATAGAGCTTTTAAAGAGGTAATTAAGGTAAAATGAGGTCGTATGGATGCGCCTTAATCCAATCTGACTGATGTCCTTATAAGAAGAGGAAATTTGGACACATGAAGAGACACCAGGGATGTGCATGTACAGAGGAAAAGACCATGTGAAAAAGCAGCAATAGGGCATCCATCTGCAAGCTAGTAAGAGAGGCCTCAGAGAAAAAGCAGCCCTGTTTGTTCCTTGACCTTGGACTTTCAGCCCCAGTACTGTGAGACAAAATTGCTGTTGTTTAAGCTACCTGGTCTGTGGTATTTTGCTATGGCAGCCCTGGCAAGCTAATATACCTTGTAGCATAACATAATCGCAGGTTCCAGGAACGCCATCTTTGGGAAGCTATTGTTCTGCCTGTGACACATCAGTTGATTTGTAGGATTTCTATTCTGTTGCTTTGATCTACTCATTTATCCTTGAGCCAATACCATGTTTCTACAATTACTAGGGTGTTATTTTGTTTGGTGGGGTGAACTTCCTCTTTTGCTTGTTGTTTTCATTCACCTAATATTTTCTTGATTTTTTCTATGCATTTATTCTTCCATATCAATTTTAGAATCATCTTGTCAAGTTTCCTAAAAATTGTGATTGCAATACGTTTATACATTGATCTGGGATTTACCTTTACATGAACACATACTTTCCCATTTAGTCAGCTAGCATTTCTGTATACCCTTGTTCATAACGTTCTTTTTTATTTCCTGGTAAGTTTTTTTCCCAGGCACTTTCTAAGTTTTGTTGATGTTGCAAACAGGATAATTCTTCCTCTTTACAACGGGAAAGTAGAGGCCCAGAGAGGGAGAGAGACTTCTTTGAGACCACACAGAATCATGGAGCAGGCTCTAAGCGGAATACAGGGCTGTGATTTCTAACCCCTGTGCTCTACCCTTGGCCACGTGGAGATTCTTGGCCAGATTCCGTTAGGTCCACAATGTGATGTTCTGTTTCAGCTCAACACTCATGTGTCCGCTAGAGCAGTACTGG